TCACATGCTCTGCTGATCACCACCCATGTCCGCAATTGTTTTTGGCACAAGACCCCTGGGAGGAGGGGGTATGCCCTCTCCACAGAGCTCTGAGGCATACAACGCTCCTCAAACACTTTGCCATTGTGTTTTGATCCAGGTGCTGCAGAACCAGCTGCTGTCCGGCTCGTGAACGGTCCACAACTTTTTTCTTGCGGAGTCGAGGTGCTTCATGAGCAGCGGTGGGGAACCGTGTGTGATGACAACTGGGATATAGCTGAAGCCAGTGTTGTGTGCAGGCAACTGGGCTGCGGGACAGTGCTGTTAGCCCCTGGTTCAGCTCATTTTGGGCAAGGGCGTGACCCAATCTGGCTGGACAATGTGGCTTGTTTAGGGAACGAAGCTGCCCTCTCTGAGTGTAAGGCTAATTCTTGGGGGTCCCATAACTGCAATCATGGAGAAGATGCTGGTGTAGTGTGCTTAGGTAAGCCTCTCTCTGTGTCTATCTGCATGACGGGAAACGTTTCCTCTTGACAAGAGTGGTATTTTTGTACCACCCCAGCAGCAGACTCTGTCTTCAAGTGTCTTGAACCTGGGATGTGAGCTCTCTTTCATCATAGTGGAGATCTGTTAAAAATTCCTCTTTTTTTTTTTTTTTTTTTTTTTTTTTTTGCATGTGTGTAGCTGTTGTTGTAAACAGAAGCTGTGTGCTTTCCTTGACTTGGATTTCTAAATTATACACTGCAGAACTCGATACACAGTCCATTGTCCACTTAGCTCTCAATACTAGAACCGGAGAATGTATCCCAGCATTAGGCAACTGGATAAATACATCCTGGATGTTATTAGTCCCACATACATTTCATCTTATTTTCAACCAAGCAAATGGCAACTTAATTTATATCTATCCTTGCCCTTGTTTTTTTCATCAGACAACCCAAGAATAGCTCCACTGAGGTTAATGAATGGACCAAATCGTTGCAGTGGGAGAGTTGAAGTTTTTTATGGCCAGCAGTGGGGAACCGTATGTGATGACAGCTGGGATATAAGTGATGCTGAAGTTGTTTGCCAGCAGTTGGGCTGTGGGAAAGCCCTATCCATTCAGGACTCAGCTTATTTTGGAGAAGGATCTGGCCCAATCTGGCTGGATGAGGTGAACTGCATAGGGACTGAAAGTGCCCTCTCCAGATGTAAAACCAGTCTATGGGGAGTCCATAACTGTGGACATAGAGAAGACGCCGGTGTTGTGTGCTTGGGTAAGTCTAATCTTTTGCCACCATCTGCTCGACTTTTGGGTTATGTGGAGGGATGTTTGAAATGCGATAGGGTACCCTCTTCCCATTTTATGACTCTAAAACCATACGCACTGGGCAGAGAAAGTGCTTCAAATGGGCCTGTGGGTAAATCCTTCAGTGTATCCCTCTCCTTCCCATTCAAAAGCTAATCATAACACTGCGGTGCTGCAGTCCAGCCTGCTGCTGTCTGTGCAGAAGAATTTAAAATTGGAACTCTTTTTTTTTTGTGAGTTGCCAGTAAACCTGGTGGCATTGCAGGATTGGTGTGACTCACCCTGTCACAGAGCGTGTAGAGTCACTTGGACTCTTCTACTGCTGCCAGTGACAAGCCCGATAAACATATCACACTTGAAAAATCAAGATACACTCCCCATTTTTCTCTTTCTTTCCTCTTCTAGACAAGAATATTAAAAAAACTTCCAGAAACCCGCTTAATCTACCTCTTCTCTTTCCTCACCCGGTAGAATCACCTTCACAAGACCTTTTTTCACCAATTTTTCTAGTGTCTTCTCTGAAACCTCCACAGTTGAGACAGATTTCCTCAAAGTGTTGCGGCACTGTACTTTGTTGCCACTAGCAGGAAACCCTGAGCTCACTGCCGTTACCCGGAATTTATTCTACACCCTCTTGTCTCTTTGCACTGTGCATTACTACCATTTATTCTTTGCATCTACCTTTTGTTAAGGTTGTTCCATCCTTTTTCTGTTGCCTCAGCCTCTTCCCATTTCCCTTCTGAGACACAATTTTAAGCTTCTTCATCCTCTAGATGATCATTTTACATCCCAGAAGTGGTGAACTTTTGCCTTGCCCTTGCAGGAGATAAACTGTTTTCCTCTGGTTACTTGCCCGCACCTTGAAAGCACCCTGTGGATTCACTGACTAAACACAGATGCCTGTCTGAATTAAACATCCTACTGTCCCTTTGCAGCCAGTGAGGACTGAGTCAATGCAGGCAATGGCAGGATTTGGCCCATCCTGATGCAGATGGCCAAAGCAGGTTAAAGAAATTGCAACCCAACAGTGCTCATTTCCTTCCATCGACAATAAAGGGTAGTAAGGGTCCTCTGCAGAGCTGTAAAAGTGAGGTTCAGCTGCCCAAACATAGGTGTCTAGTGTCATCTGAGATGTCCCACTATATCCCACCCAGTCTCTAATTGCAAATCCAGAAGGGCACCCTTGGGTCCCGCATCAAGTCTACCACTCCCATTGGGATGTCTGTGATTCCCTGGGCAACTCAGATGGTGCAACCAACACTCGGGAAAGCCAATCACCCCTGGAAGTTTACGCTTAAGGGTTCCAAGTCTAGCTGAAGTGAATCATATCCCAGTTTTCTTGCAGAGTTGTCTAAAGAGGACTTCCTTGATAATGTCTTTTCCTCAGTCAGTGGGGTTTCTTGCACTTGCTATCTGGGCACTGGTATCTTTCTAGTCAAAGACAGAGGGGGAAAGAAGGCTTCAAGCACTTTTGGGAGGAGATCCATCAATACATCTCCTTTCTTCAGTTTTGGTCAGCGCCTTTCCTTGACTTTTGGGGCAAGAGGAGGGAAAACAACCACCTTGAACCTTCTTTCTCCATGCTGCTTGTCACTGCAGGTTGTACAAAGCCAACAGGTACACAGTGCGTTTGCTGACGTGGCTAGCAGGAACCAGTTTGCCAGAATAAAACTGACCTGGTTCTTACCTTTTTGGTTCAGGTGTTCCAGAACCAGCCCCGATCCGACTAGTGAACGGTTCAAGCAGTTGCTCTGGGAGACTCGAGGTGTTTCATGAGCAGCAGTGGGGAACCGTCTGTGACGACAGCTGGGATATGACAGATGCTCAAGTGGTGTGCAGGCAGCTGGGCTGTGGGACAGCACTCTCAGCCCCTGGCTCTGCTGGGTTTGGACGAGGAACCGGGCAAATTTGGCTCGATGATGTGAACTGTGCAGGGGCTGAAACGGGCCTCGCTGATTGCCCGGCACGGTCTTGGGGAGAGAACAACTGTAACCATGGAGAAGATGCTGGTGTGATCTGCTCAGGTACTGTTATGCCGTGAAACATGGGGTGCAATGGGGGCTAAGATTCGGGAGGAGTTGTCTGTGGACCGGGGGCACACGTTTTAGCATGGTGTTGCTTTTAGATGGGATACATAAGGAGTGAATCCAGCGCTACT